TAGTTAGGTTAAAATCTTATTTATTGATAAAGTCATATCTGCAGTGTGAGCTTTCCTTGGTACTGAAGTGATATTAATGTTGTAAGCTACATAGTATAAAAGGCCAGCAACACCGGGTGTAATAATCCTGATGTTGGTGTAAATATTCAATATTCAAATAAATACAGTATTCTGCAGACTCCAGCAGCACTTGTGATTGGCAGAAAAATCAGGTCCCCCGTTATCTGGAGAGACTATGGACAGAACACACAGACTGACAGTCACTCACTATCATACAATATTATACTGATATGTGAGAAACATATCATAAACTCACTGTTGGGTAACTACAAAATAACATATGTAGATGATATGATGTGACATGAATACAAAATGTAAATACAGTGGTTTACAATGATTAATTTCAGGGCTTTAAAGATTACCTGGGATCCATGAACATTTCCTGCTCCAGGTCCACCTCCCATGCCACTGACACCTGTGGGGATATTCAGCATCAAGACACCATCACAAGGTGCAGCAGGCCACTTGATATTGGTTTATATTTAGAAAAGTAAGGATTTCAAAGTCCAATACTGAAACCAAGCATTATAATTATAACCACATTAAACTTAGGAATGCCAATTATGTTAATAATAATTATTAAAAATGTAATAATTCAAATATCAGGTTTACTTTTTTGTTCATTGGAGACACTGAATTCCTCTCAATGACAAATTACCAGTCTAGTGGTAAGATAATGACCAAGTCGCTGTTGAGGCCATATGCTCTCAACTGACTAGTCATCAACTCAAAGACCTCAGCCTATTGGTACAGGTAGCCCCTCCAGCGAGTCAGATTGGTAGACAGGAAGCAACTGCGTGGCAGGTGGGGTGGCTAAGACAGCACTCTTACCAACGTATGGCATTCCAGGAAACCCAGGCATAACAGGCAGGAGATGTTGGGGAAAGACAGGCACCCCCATGTGATGCGGTGGTATGCCAGTCATACTAACCATGCCTGCAATGTGGCCCCGTGGGGGCATCATAGCTGACCTATATGCATCCATCATACCTTGTTAGAAAGGAATAATAGTAACACAAGACAGCAACATGCATCAGTCAAACATGCCTCGACTACTTCACTACCAAGCATGCAGAATTATGTTAATATATATGCTTTCACATTATCACCATGTCATTATGATGGATATGAATGGAAATAAAGGCCACACAAATGAAAAACGCACAAGGAAAAAAAGTCAGTGCACATGCACTATTATCAAGTACCCAATCCTCAAATGGTGTACAGGACGTTTCTACATCACGTTCTGCATTCAAATACAGATCTCTATACCATGATGTGAAGGTTGGACAACAAAGAGTACTGTACAACAATCAAGGTTTGGGCTTATCAAATTATGTTAGAGGCCACATACAATTAAATCTGCAACAATGCAACATCACAAGCATGCTGACATAGGCGTGGTTAGGAGACTTAACACATGTGAGTATATCTAGCAGTTCAGCTTCTTATTCCAGCCTTCTAGTGTACACTGGGATCCATCTGCATCTATGAGGGGTTACCTGACACAGGCGTCATGCTGGGATTTAGCATCCCCATGGGGGTTGGGGGAGGCACCACCCCCATCAGTGCCCCTACTGGGGTACCTGCTCTAGGGGACGTCAGATGATGGGCCCTCTCACGCTCCTGCTGCTCGGCCACTTTAGCTGCTCGCTCTGCAGCACAATGAAGACGAGCATAGGTTGTTAACTTTCAGTGGTTCACAATTATTAAAACACAACATCTGGTTCGAGACTAGATTTGAAAAAAAAAAAGTTCCGCTCACCTTCATATTCTGCTTTCCTGGAGCTCTCCAGGTTCCTCCACTCTGTGCCAACGAGGCGGCTCAACTCCCCGAAGGAAAAGTCTGGGTGCTGGGCTTTGATGACAGCTCGCATCTCGCTGCTAAACAGAATGTAGCCGCTCATGTTGATCTTCCGCTTTGAGCCCTCCTTCTTTGAAAGGCCCTTTATGGATTTTGGCGTGGACTGGCAACCAAACACAGGAGAAGTATTCACAAAAAGGCTACAAGTCACAAAATCACATGTTAGATTGCAGAGGAAATTTACAGTCATAATTAAATACTTTCGTTCTGACCTGCGGAGGAGTGTAAGGCATGATATCCATGTCACTAGACATGGAAGATTGCATCTGAGGAAGAGACTGGTCCCCTAGCTCGCCATCATCATCCCCAAGATCCTCTAGCTCCTCATCTGTCATATCAGCAAACTTAGCCTCCAGTTCCTCAATTTTCCTGTCCAGCAGAGGGGATGGCTCCTTCTGGGGCACGATGAGCTTCCTGTATAAGACAATCAGGAAAATATACTGTGCCATTAATCCACCTTTTGCAAATAAATCTTTCATTCAGTAGAAACTGACTGGCAAGACAAGATTTAACTACATGGGAGGATAAAATGTTTCTGTATTCAGGATCAGTGCATGTTTACTTTGGGGTTCTTTAACAACGTTTTTGTTCTGTTTCCAACAGTAAGATTAACAGTTCACTTAAAGCATGTAAAGGCTTTTCACCTAAAATAGTAGGTTTCATCCTCCACCACCTTCCCAGAGAGTGAAAAGCGCTTAAGACCCTTGAATTTCTTCATCTGCTTCTCACTCTCAATGTAGCGGCTCTCACAGAGCAGGACATTCTCTTCAGGCACTTCAGTTGGCCGACACGATAGGTAGTCTTTGAAGGACGACACCACACACTTCCCTGTAAAACAAGAAAGCTGATTCAGTGAATTATTAGCATTCAGTTATTTCGATTACCTTGTGCACTGCAGCATCCCAGTGCACAGTTAGGAGGGTACCTATGATGCAGGTCATAGGACAAGTCTCCTCGAGGTTGCTAAGGAACACTTCCTTCTTGTAGAACATCTTAGTGGGCTCATGCTCTGTTTCCTCTGGATGGATGAAGATTGGACCAAAGAAGTAGCCTGCTCCATCTCGCATCCACATTTTCTCAATCCTGTTCAATATAGTTTCAAAAGAATAAGCTGAATTAAATATAAAAGAATATATAGAAACTTTTTATATTTACAAAAAACATGCCATTGCACTATACTCCCTGTGTGTCTATATTCTTTTGAACATAGCACAATAAAGAGTTCCTGTGTCCATAATTAACTTTAAGGTGGTAAGCTGGTCAGTTTTTGCATTCATTGGTACGCCATTAATTAAGAAAATTCTTACAGAAATTAAACAAAATATTATTGATCAACAAGTTTATACTAAAGGTTTCTATCCACTACAGAGCACACAACTATTCAAATACAGTATACCGTAAGCATGTACTGTAAAGTGTATAATCGTATTTACTCTACCTGCCCACTCGGTGGCGCACTAGTCCATGAGAAGCAATATAAACACAGTCTCCCACTTTCAGCCACAGGTTGTTGTAGCAGAGCTGCTCGTAGTACTGACACCCTGGTTCCCCATTGGTCATATCCATCGGAACATCCTCTCTCTCCTGCAGACATGCACAAATTGTATTCCTGACAGTAGTCTGCATTATTTAAAGTGTCCTCTGTCATTTTTTATGAAAAAAACAAACACAGGCGTTTACCTTGTCTACAATAACATCACCCGTTACTTTGCTTTCATCAGTTATTTCTGGTGGTTTCTCCTCTTGTTTGGGGGCAAACATGGATGCCACACGGACGACAGGTAGCGGTACCTCTCTGGGAAAAAACCGAACAGAGCTCAAGGGCATGGCCCACATCTTGATCTTCTTGAAGGACTTGGACTTGGCAGAGTAGCGTGACTCACAGACGTAAACATCCTCGGCTCTGAAGCCCTCTGGGTGAAGTTTGAAGTACTCCTTGAACCGCACATGACAGAAATGTTTGGTTAGTACAAATTCAAACAGCCAATGCTCAAAAACAAAACTTATATATCATAAATACATAGCAGAAAGACAGCATTTACCTTTACAAACATGACCACACATTTGCCCAGAATCTTGCTGACAGGAGCTTTGTTGTAGTAGTCGCTCTTAAAAACCTCCTTCTCCAAGAACTTCCTTGTGGCTAGATGAAATGTTTCATTTGGCCTGTAGAACCAGCAGCCATACAGCCACTTCTCACCTGCATTTATCAGAGGTGGATACAAGTAAATGAATTAGAATTGTTACTGAACTGGAACACTAACTGAAGGTAATGTACATAACAAAAGAAAACATGCCTTTCATACAAAAAATACTAATAATGAGACTGACCAGTGTCGTCTTGCCAAAGGCGTTCAATGTAGATGATATGAGGCTGGAGGTTTGGCTCTGCAGGCTCCACATACACATAGTCTCCCACGTGGTACATACTGTCTTTGAAGCTGCAGTCCTGACTGTATGTGCGCTGCAGGCTAGACTGCCACGATCCTCCGGCAGAGTCTTCTCTCTTCTCAGCTTCTGGGAATTCACAACTGACTCAGTAAAACAATACCACAATGTGTGCTGAGACATTGCATTATAGAGCTTCTATGTACAGTGACCTTTAACATATATTTAAGTAGGATACCCCTTTTTTCCTCTTCCCTCTTGATTTTGTCCTCCTCAAACTCCTTGGGAAGCTTCTCTTTCTTCTCCTTTTCCACATCACTATGCAGGTGTTTGGAGGTATAGCTGAGAGCAGGAGACATCAAGATCTCTCCGTTTTTACACAGCTCATCTCTGATCCGGATGAAGAACTGCTGCAGCTCCACAGCATCTTCAAAGATCTCGGAATCTGTCCTGTAATAAACATACGGTGTAACAAAATCCTACAACATCAGTGCATAAAACATTGATTAGACAAATGATTTGGTTTTGTACAGGATGGTCAACAATACCTCACCTATTCAATCGTCTGGCTTTTTCCAGCACTTCAAACATGTGGTCCTGGAACACATCCAGCCTCTTATAACGTCCTCGGTCTACATTAGTCCTGATAATCTCAAAATTGAGTCGTGGCTTCTCAGGATTTGCAGGATCTAGGGCAGGAATCTCAGCCAGTGAATCACTATAGCAACGGCCCTCGTCATCTTGGTGCCCAAGCACGGAGACAAAGAGGCTGCGTATGAGTTCCTGGATGAGGCGGGGCACGTCGGGCACGTGGGCGTCATCTCCTCCCTCCAGGTCACGCCTCGTCTCTAACAGCACCCTGTGCAGCACGAGAGCGTCGCGGTAAATCAGAGACTCAGGCTCGTTGTATGTGCAGGCGTTGTTGAACATGAGCACCAAGTCCTCCACCAGAGCGTCCACATCCTGGTACTTATTAGCCAACATGTGGCTCTTGATCTTCTCCATGTCCACAGGTTTCTTGATGGCGATGTAGTAATCAGGCAGCTCGGCGCGAGATGGCAATCGCAAGAAGATTGTGCTGAGCCGACGGCCCCGTTTATCTGTGTAGTTCTTGACAGCCTCATAAAGCTCGTTCAGCTTCTGCTGTAAGGGTGTTAAGTACTTGGACTTCTTCAGAGTAATGCTGTTCTTTCCTGCAATCAAATAACATGTATGTGTTTTAATGATTTCCATTGTTCCTACTGCTTGATAGGTAACAAAACACATTTTCTTGAATTTGGTTCAGTGTCAAGTGAAGTAAATGTGGCTGACCAAGTTACATACTTATTTTCAGCTTTGGGGACATCATGTCATCGTCATCTGATGCTGGCCCAAGATCCTTGCGTTTGTCTTTCATAATCTTCTCTAAGACGTCAGCATCATTGTAGACCTTAAACACAACAAAGAAGTTCATCATCAGGATCCCTGCTCAAGTTCACTCTTCTTTTACAACAGGGAACAAATGGGCTTTTCAGACCTTCGAAGGCCTCAGAAACACAAAAGAAAAAAAAATTAATGAAAGGCAGACAGAAATACCAATCACCTGAGAGCCTTCTTCATTGTAGTGTTGAGCATTGCGGAACATCAGCTTCATATCTTCCACCATTGAATCTTCAGTCAAGTACTTGTCTGAGCGGATGTTGTGCTCAATGGTCCTGAGGTCCATTGGTTCTAGGATGACCTTGTAGTAGTCGGGATAGTCCTTCTTCGAGGGCTTGACCATGAAAAGGTCACACAGTCTCCGACCGGTGCCAGCTTCTCGTGCCTCAGTCACAGCGGCAAAGAGAATTTTCATTCGGTTTTTCTTTGTATTCTTCTTGTGACTGAAAACAAAATGGGAGTCAACTGTCATTGTACTTCCCCGCACAAAAAAAGAAAGCAACTTCATAGAGTTGAGCAGGTATAATGTGACAAAGTGCAAACCTTTTCCTTTTTGTGCTACTGGTGTCAGACGTGGCAGAGGAGAGCATGCTGTCTCCATCATCATCATCCCTCTGCAAAAGCTCCTTTCTCTTCATCTAGACAGGTATCATATATATTTATAGTTATATATACATACATATATATGTAGATATCAAATTGTTATAATGACTCCTAAAAATATGCACAACTATGACAAGTGCACATTGGGACTGACCTGCTGAATGTGTTGGAGTTTGAGCGCACGCTTGTAGATGGAGGAGTGAGGAACATTATAGCGTTTGGCATTCTCAAACATCAGCGTCAGATCAGAGTCAACATGCTCAACGCTCTCGTATTCATTGTTCTTCATCTTGTTCCTGTGGGGAATTACGGGCTCTCACATTTGGGAAGGAGGGCACAGAAATACTGTACTGTACAGTGAGTGTGTGTGATGCCGTAGGGGTAGAAAATAAAAAAGAGAGAATGTTGGTGAAATCAAAGCAATGATGAAAGCATGAACAAATTAGGAAAAATGAAGCAGAAGCAGAATGGCTTTCGAACCAAGTAGTGTTCGTAAATTCTGATAAATTTCAGCTTGGAAACAAATGTTTATGATATATATATATAAATATATAATATTTCTATATTATTGCCACTAACTGTTGCAAGTTACCTGAACAAATACAGACATATCCAACTTAAATTGGTATTAAACCTCTGACTCAATATTTTTTTTGTTTATTTCTAAAGAGGTAGTTTTTGCCAATGGGCTTTAATGTTTTTAATGAACTATGAGTGATTAAAATAAAAATCCACTTTGATTTAAAAAGTATTTGAAAACATTCAGGTGGAAAGACAGACATGAAAGTGCATACAGTATGAAAACACACACAGAGTTAGTTAGTTCAGTACTAGTTCTGTCATACTTGATCTGATGAAGGCAGATGGGTTGAGTGATCTGGTGGTAGTAGTCGGGGTAGTCCTTTCTGGAGGGCAGCTGCAAGAAAGGCTCAGAGATCAGCTGACCCTGACTGTTCCTGGCACCTCGTACAGCCTCATACAGCTGGAAGATGGGATTACTCATGTCCATGTTAGAGGTCATACTCTCTGCCTCAGATTCCCCCTCATCATAGTGGACAGAACCTGAGAAAGACAGGAGGAAATAAATAAATAATGACAATCGTCAATAACAACAGTTAGTACAGAGCATCTTCATCAAAGCCCAGTGGAGACAGATGTGTGTTTGATGAACCTAAGATAATGAGGTGAAGATATACCAGAGAGTATTCCCTCCTCATCACTTTCGTACTGAAGAGCCATAGTGATAGCTGAGAGGCGGTCCCCCTGGGCGGATCTTCTGTTCCTGACAGAGAGAGACGGAAAGAGGGGAGAGGAAATACAACAGGGTTAAAACATAAAGTTAACTTTATTCCACATTATTCCCAGCGCTGTTTCCTGTTTACCTGATACGAATGCTGGACTTGATTGGTTCTCCATGTTCCATCTCAGACTTCTTTTGTGCAAAAATCTTTTTGATGGTGTTTGCATCCTGAAAAACATGAGTAGGTCTTAAGTATGTATGTCAAACACTGCTAGTGACATCCAGCATGTATCATATTCTCTCACACACTCACCTTAAACACTTGCGATCCAGGCTCATTGTAAGTTTTGGCATTCTTGACCAGCAAATCTATATCTTTAGCCATCGCACTGACACTCCTGTAGTGGCCCAACTAAAAGTGAATACATGTATTAGACATGTTATCAACACATTTTGTAAATAACTCAATCAATATTTAACAGGGAGGTTTTAATATTGTACCTGAATCTTTTGAGCAATGATTTTCAGATCTATTGGTTCCTTAATGATGGCATAATAATCTGGGTATTGCTAAATGAAAAACGCAAAGTACACATCAAAACCAAGACACTCATTTTACTGATAAAGTCTTGAGTCACACTGAAGGCGCTCATACCATTTTAGAGGGGAGCTTCTGGAACAGCTCGCTGACCAGACGGCCAGTGGGCTCAGTGTAAGACACCACAGCATCAAGAAGCTGCTCGAGGACCTCTTTCAAGCAAGTAGGTGCGCTCTGTTACACACAAGTGGTCACACAGTTTAGGTAAGGTAATACTAGATAGATATTGTTTTCCATAAAATAACTGAAGCTTTAAATTGGCAATGACTTGAGACAAATTTGAGAGTTACATTTTCTTTGAGTGTGGCTTCACTTCTGCATAAATTCTTTGATGCAACCAATATATTAGAAGAAGTGAAAGCTGCATAATGTCCCCTTAAAATCATTAAAACATAACATAATAGGCAAAGGAGCTCATAACAAACATAGTTGTTAACATAGTAAGGGAATATTAATATAAGCACTGTCACAATAGTATGGTAAGCCTGTGCAATGGAAAAAGCTTGTACTTTCAATAATTAAATTATTTATCCATGAATTATTATGCAAATTAGTGCAGCAAGATGCTAATATTTCTTCAAATGATATATACCAAACCACCTCCTGCCTTTGTAAATCTGTGTCATAGGTTTCAAAACAATATCATAGTAGCAAGATACAACTGATTCAACACATTATTAACATGGAATTGAACCTAAAGATGAATACTGGCAGCAGTACTGAATGAAGAGTCATCATGTGTGATGTGAGAGTCACCTCATCCTCAGTGGACCCTCCGGGGTTGTCTTGCGCATCGTACCCATCTTCATCCTCCTCATCATATTCCCCTCGCTGAACAAATTCATTCTTGGTTCGCAGGTAAAGGTCCCACAGTTTACAGGCTGCCCTGTACTCAGGACTGTCAGACTACACAGACACAAGCAATATATATATATTCATGTAAGTGCATAGAGCCATACATAGATATAATTAAAGGGCTTAAAACTTTTTTGTTCATGCAGGCGTTCTTAAGTTGTCCTTAGATTTTTCTTTTTTTTCTGCACTTCAACTCCTCTTTTAGCTGTTTTTCTTAATGTATTTTATCACTT